CGGAGGGAGGGACCAGGGAAGTTCAGCGGGGCCACCCTGGCCCAGTAACGGATCTGAGAACACAGAGGGATGTCCACTTTAGCAAATGTCAGGCTTAACAAGAATCCAATCTGCTCACACCCTTGTCCTCCTGACAGCGACGGCGTGTGTCCCACCAACTGGGACGGGCAGTGGCCGGGGCCCTTGACCTTTTCCCACGGCCCACCCTCCTTCTTAACCATAAAGAAATCTTTTCAGGAAACCATTTCTCTGTGGTGAAGGACCATTTCTGTAAATGTTCTCAGTTTCACTTCGCCTTCCCTTTCCTCCTACGGGAAAATGATCGGTGCGTGACATTGATCGGGGGCCCATTTGCATGGCTACTTCTGGCCCTGAGCTTGAGGAAGGCTGTCTGGACCAGCTGCCCAGAGTTAGTTAACATGGCCGCCCCGGCCTGGTGGAATCAGTTCACTTTCAAACTCTTTCTAATTTAATCTATTTTAATTTTCTATTTTAATCACTTGATTCATTTTAACAGAGAAACAAGTCATTTCCTTACCTTAAAAACAAACACAAACAAAGCCCCACCTCCCTGAGGTTAGTGCAGACAGAAGGCAGACCCCCGGGGAAATAAGGGCCTCCCTTTTATTATTATTATAAAGACGAAGGGGGGAGGGGCAGCTGGGGAGAGTGCACAGGTCAAGAGCCGGAGGACTGGGGTCAGATCCCAGCCCACGATGAGCGAGGTGTGTCTCAGGCTGTGACTCCAGTGTTGAGGTGAGGAGCTGGCAGAGCCTGGAGCTCCGGGCCGGCCAGGCCAGCCAGTGGGTGAGCGCAGGTTCAATGAGACCTAGTCTCAAAGGATATGGAGGGAGAAAGTGCAAACCCCAGGGCTGATGGCTGGCCTCCATCGGTGCGCGTGCACGCACACACGCAGGTACACACGCACACACGCAGGTACACACGCACACACGCCACACCAAAAGGGACACTGACTGAAAAGAGACCCATTAGAAAATAAACCCCCGTCGGGCGGTGGTGGCGCACGCCTTTAATCCCAACACTCGGGAGGCAGAGGCAGGCGGATCTCTGAGTTTGAGCCCAGCCTGGTCTACAGAGTGAGCTCCAGGACAGCTAGAGCTACACAGAGAAACCCTGTCTCGAAAAACAAAACAAAACAAAACAAAAAGAAAATAAACCCCCCAAGCAGCAGACAGATGTAGCTCCCTCCCTGTGCCCACACCACGCTTACAGCCGGGACACAGACAGGGACAGAGACACGAGACTCCCTGAAGCCCCGCTGGCTAGGGCCAGGTCAAAGGCCGAGTTTCCAGTGGACGCTGTCCAAACCAGCTACTTCTCCAACATGAAGTTCTGACCCAAGCCGACCAGGGCTTGGCTCCCTCGTCTGTAATTATAACCATGTCTTCCTCAATGCCAAGGCCG